TTCCAGTGAACGCCTTCTTTCACTTTCCGCACGTTTTGACTTCATCCCACGTATCGGTATGCATGGTAAATATCCTTTTTACGAAAAGGATTGAATTGTTGCCTTTGTTTTTGTTTGTGAAGACTGGGTTTGATCGCACTTGCGATGTGGTGCTGCCTATGTTTGCAAGAAACTGAAGCCTTAAGTATAGCACTGTGCGAATTGAGATACAGTTTAAGCAGTTTGTCGGATAGTGCCCTTACCAGATTCGTTGGCGCCGACTGCATTATAGGAGCAGCTTCCAGCTGCACTGCATAGAACTTGTGATGCGCAGGAACTCCAGAGTGCTGCACAGCTGGAGAAGGCGCTCTGCTCTCTCCTGAGTGCGATTCCCTCTGGAAGCTTTTAGAAGGGAGAAATAGGCCTTGCGACTTCACATCTTTTCCACCTTAGCATTTTGATTTTGGCTCTAAGAGCCTTTCATTCCCACTCCGCTCATGCGTCGATATTTCGTAGTGCAGGCGCATCAAGGCTCGCATTGTAGAGTCTGCTGTTGAAGGGGAGGTGAACAGGGAGATTCAACGAGCCGGCTTACGCTAGAACCCTCCTCTTCAGAAGCAGGCCCTCTCAGGGCCTGTTTCTAGAGAGCAGGCTTCTTGTGTTCGAAAGCTCGAGAATCGTAACTGCCAAAAGTATGCCACTCTGTAATTCTCCGCGTTAAGTAGCGTGGCATCTGCGGCTGCTTCAGGCGAAGTGTTCAGTCTCAGTAAGCAATATCAGTACCTCTAGAGTGCTGACGCACCTTGCCGTGCGGCAAAACAAGAGAATTCACAGAGGTGAGATGCACTAAAGCTACCGATGGAAAGACTGCAGCCAACAGTAAACAGTCGAGTTTAGTTGCCTTAACAACAGTTGAAGGGAGTGTAAGTATAAACAGAGGACCTTCCTGAACGCATGACACCCACAGTTGGCTAGTGGTATCCTAGTCCGCGCGAAGCCACCCGCAGGTTTCCCATTTAGCCTTAAACACACATTGCACACCTTTTGTGAGCACCTGGCGCCTGTACGAAGATGCTGATCCGTATTCCACCCTAACACAGCAAGTGGAGCAGAAGTTAAATTATTGGAGCAGCCAGCTGCCGCGTTCACCCAAGAATCGTATTTGTGCCCTTGGATTGGGTGTGCATGGAGATTATACCATACATGAAGTACGGATGGATCACAGAAAATACTAAACGTGATGCTAGGTATATCGAATGCAAACGCGGGACAAGCCACAGCAGTTCATGGCCCGCTGCCAGCTTTATGGAGGCCTCTTCTGCCTGTGGCAGTCGCTCAAGAGTTTGGCACAAAAATATCAAACACAGCATTCCCCAAGATGATTCGTGTCAGCTTTCTTACCTTCAGTCTAGAAAGCGCGTATGCCGTTGCGCAAGCGGTTCATTGGCACATTGTGCATTCTCTGAGAAACAGAAGTGAGACTGAGACTTGGGCGCCGCCTTTTAAACCTGTGAGTAGTCAGGCTGAGGTTGTGTATCATGACGTGGGTGGCGTTCGTTCGTCCACACCTACTTGCGTGCAGGCTGCCCGCTGACGGCCAAGGACGTCTTCAGCGATTGCCGACAGTGTTAATGCAGGCGTCAAGAGAGCCTCGTTGCACATAAATGGCTTAGGTTTCTTCCATGGCCGGAGCGCGTTTTTAATACAACAGTGCACTCGTCAAACAGTTGCACCTCGGCATCTCGGCTCTACACGGAGACTCCGCTACCCGACCCGACGCTGGATCTCGCTGCTGCGAGTTAGCCCAGGGAAGCGCTGCCGCCGCCGTAGGGGAGCGACGCCGCTACACCTCTTCGCCTTCATATGGGGTAGCAACACGAAGTGCAGCAGATCCAGTAGCAGCAGGCGCAACTACTTATTCTGCAAAAAGCTGGACACGGAAGGGACCAGTTNTGCAGCAGATCCAGTAGCAGCAGGCGCAACTACTTATTCTGCAAAAAGCTGGACACGGAAGGGACCAGTTGCAGCAGCGGCCCCGGGTGCAGCAAGAATGTGCAGGAGCAGGAGCAGGAGCATCTGCAGGAGCAGCAGCACCATCGGTTGCAGCAGAAGCTTCTGCAACAGTAGGAAATTCAGCACGATTCCTTGTTAGGGATCAGCTGCAGGGGTCCTATTCGCTGTTTGCTGCTGCAGGATTCCGAAGCAGTGCACGCGTTTGATGTACGTAACGTAGCTGAAGACAAAAATCGCTTGCCGTTGTCGCTGTTGCTGAAGGAGATGAAGCAAAGCACGAAGCATTCGAAAACGATCCCTATCTAATCGGTCTAGTGGGGTTACATACCAGAACATTTTTGTGATAAATACAAGGGAAGAAACATCCCTCAAGCTTTTTTAGTTTTGTAAGTTTGTTGAACCAGACGAGATCTCTGAGCGTCTGTAGCATAAGAGAGTTTGCTTCAGGGNTAGTTTTGTAAGTTTGTTGAACCAGACGAGATCTCTGAGCGTCTGTAGCATAAGAGAGTTTGCTTCAGGGCGTCTATAACGCTTGTTCTCTGGCCTTTACCTAGGACAGAGGAGAGGTAAAGACTTAAAGTCAGAGTTTTCCAAAAGCAACTGACCCCTCCCCCTGGCCCTAGGCGTCCTGGGCGTTGATCTCAGGGCCAGGGTGTTGGGCGGAGCAGGCAGCCAGAAATGGGGTTGCTCTGAGAATCGCCCCTTGAGAGGGGCCAGTCTAAGGGGAGTTTGGGGCATTAGGGATTATATGGCCCTCGGAACTTGATCCCACTCACGTCAATAGATGCACCAGTCTCTGCCGGCAGCTCTGCGTCTTGTGCCCGCGGCGACAACACAAACGCAGATGAGAACACAATTATGAGGCATAGTATGGATCGAAGTTCCCTCACACGATGAGGTGGTGCGAATCCAAAACAGTAGAGGAACTGCCGACCCGGTAAGCTGATGAGATGTGCGGAGAGCCGTCACTCCCTGACACGCTGTACTGAGATCTGTTCAAGGTAGCTTAGAGTACTTCTCTTTAGTATAACTATTTGCAGTTAGGTTTACGTATTACTAGGTTGTATCTCTAAAGGAATGCGCCTGTGGGGCGCATTCATAAAACGCCCAAGCTGACTATAGCGAGCTGGCAGGCAATAACTATCATACTGAAACAACAACATAACAAACTAACAAAGGCTAAAGGAAATTACGTCTCTCAGATTCTTCTCCAAAATTGTTCTCGTCTACAACCCCACTAGAGCAGGCACTGCGGCTTTTGGGGCTGGGAGAGATGGCGTAGCATGTTGCAATACCTTTTGCACCGAGGCTCATGCGAGCTTCTCCTATAGTCATATCAACGGTCACTTCATAAAGAATGTTTAATGCATTCACCAATGTTATACTCAATGTACATCAATAAGAAGACACTTCCACTGTCCATATAACCCTCACAGCTCACCTCGCAGCTGCTGGTAGTACAAGCGAGCCCCACGCGTGCACGCAAGGAAGCTTCTCCGAAGCTTCCTTTGCTATATATTTTACCTCCAAATGTACTTGTAGAATGTTTGTAAACGTCTACATGCAGCGCTTCAAAACCAAGTGAAAGCTTCTGCGCGAAGTCATGCTACAGTATCAGCCATTTTCTGCCTACCGCCCCGTTATACTCAGCAGTGGTGTTCGAACGATGCGCCCCACAGTACTCTTTCAGAGGAACAGCCTATTCATATGTCATGGTTATTGAAAATATTGCACTAAAGCGTAATATTCATTATTAACGTGAACAAATCTCGACATAGCATGTGAGGTGTAGTGAATACTCCCTACAATCACGGCAGCGATGCCGTGCTCGTTGTGAAATGAGTGAGGGTTGTATGAGTAGTGAAAGTGTCTGTGAGTTCTTATTGAGGTGGCACAAGACGCAGAGCTGCTGGCAGGGACTAGTGCATCTACTGACGTGACTGGGATCAGGTTCCGACGGCCACATGATCCCTAAGGTTCCGAACTCCCCTTAGACTGGCGCTTCTGAAGGGGAGTTTCTCACATGAGGGCCTGAGGGACCAGCCCACACATAATCAGCTTCCTGGGGCCGCAGCACTTCCATTGTTATGGATCCACAACACCGCATTGTGTGAGGGAAGTCGGGTCCCTATTAGCCCTCACAGTTCGGTTTTTGCCTGCCTTTGTGTTGACGTTAGGGGCACAAGACGCAGGGCTGCGGCCATTTGGTGCACCAATTGACGAGACTGGGATCATGTTCCGAGTTCTTGATCATCCCGAAGGCCCCCAACTGCCCTTAGCTGGCTTGCTGTAGCGGAGCTCCTCACAGAGGATGACTGGTGTAGTGCGGGAGGAGTACAAAGGCATTGATTGGTTCTCTTAGCCCTGCTGCAGGGAAATGTCTAATTAGTGGTTAGTTAGCCAAATATTTTGGCAACCATATTTTTGCCAAGAGACGGTCATCCGTTTGAGTTGATTCCCGTCCAGCATCCGAAAGCAGCAGCAGGAAATATCCGGCAAAATGGTGCAGGATCCACACCGTCGCAGTCGCGCGCTGGATCTGCGGACTGCACCCGGGGAGTCCCCGAAGCGACATTCGGACCCTATGGTCCCATAGAGCCCCAGAAAACTGTTTTCATCGAGTTTCTATGAACACTCAAAATGAATCCCTAGTTAGGCAAACTTTTTGGGCGCACCACACGCCCCATGTGTGATCCTTCCGGTGTGGCTTCCTACTACCATAATATTCTCAGAGTGCGATCATAGGTACGCTTCCCTCCTATTCATTGAATTCTACTGCTAATTACAAATCTGTCCCTTATGAAAAGGTTGCAATATTATTTTCATTGTAAGAGTATAAGGTGCACCCAAGGTTTGCAGCTATTTCAGTGGGCCTGACCTGCTGAACCACAGGGCATTACGCCTGGAGTCAAACAAGAGACGTTTGCTCATTTTGAGATACTCTTATCTGGCTCCGTTGCAGCTCGCAACAGTCCCTGAATAATGCCTATGCAACACACTGGCATTATTCAAGGAGCGTTTACTTCCAGATAGCACAGGAACATCCGCTTGGCGTTGATAGGCTGCCTGCAAGCAAACACAATGCTCAACTCACTTAGTCTCTGCAGAGGTAATGTATGCACTAAAGGAAGCTTTGTTGAAGCCTCCTGGCTCTCACAGGTGAGGCTCTCATGCATCGGCAGCTGCAGCAAGGTGCACTCCAACTGCTGTTCGGCTTCCTCCTCCGCAGCAACAACAAGCCCTGAGCTGAATGCCCACTATGCCTGCAGACAGGGGAGCGACGTCAGCTGCTTTGGGGGAAAACTCTTACCTCAAGTCGTTGGCTTCATTGCAGCGCGCTTCTGCCCTTGAATAAAGCCTGAAAGAACGATTTATAGCCGATGCTCTCCGTTATTCCGCCGCCTCTACCAGGTCCCAGGCTGTTGGGCCTGGGAGCTCAGGCGGCCTGGGGCATGGAGAGGAGCTTAACTGTTTTTTGGGAGACTCTTATACTAAATATTTGACTCACTGCAGCTCG